CACTGCAGGTTAGGTTCCCTATCACTTCAACATTACTTAACACACTTTTAGTGGAGAAATAAAAAAAATCAAAAAAAAAAACCACTAAAACTCGGTTACTCATACAACAAATTATGTATGAAGGCTTGTCCTATGCATGATCCATTTGTTTCATTGAGATATTAGCATGAACAGAGCTCTCTCGAACCCACTAATACTAAAAACTAGCAATATCAAGTGACTCAAAGGGACAAATTACAAGGCATTTGTGAACATGGTTTTCTTTCTTAATCCCTCTCCACTTTGCCTACTGGATTACAGTCACCAGTCTCTCTGAAATACTATTGCTACAGCAAAACAAAGAGCTAACATGAACACACCACTTATTTTTTTACTATTCATTACAGTTGCATCGGGAATCACAAAGTCAAGATTTATCCATATGAATATCTGGAGACCACTTGGAAACTATAAACCTAATTAGCTTCTGTAACACATTTAAATACTGCAATATACCCTTACATTTGATTTCACTGTGCTACCCGATGGTATCAGAAACGGTAACAGAAGCTTTCAAACTATTTTTCAGTGTTAGCCCTAAATCTTTTCAGTATCAGCAAATCATTCCAGAATGACTGACATAAGTGGATGCAACTGCCACATACATCTCCACACAGAAAGAGGTGGGCTTCAGAGAAAGAAATGCATGAGTGAAGCTGTGTTCACAGAACACAACAGAGAGTCCCTAAAAAAGGGCTATATAACTAACAGTAGAAGAAAGTAATTCCCAAAACAATTTCTTACTTATCCAGAAGCTGTTCACGTCTGGACTCTTTAAGCTTTACTCAAAGAACTTAAAGCCACTTGCCTTGCTTGCATGTTCTAATAAAAGCAGGAAAATAACCTGCATATGCAACTCTCTAGTTTAACAAAAGCAACTCTGGTCCTTTTTGAAGGTCGGGAAAAAAACAGAATGGAAAGGACATGAAAAATATCTGTCTTTCTCTACAGAGAACTTTCAGTGAGCTAAAGAAGTGATGCTTTCACCAAGTGTCCATGCAAAGCCTGGAGAAGCAGAACATTATTTCATTCCACATCCACTGACCCAAGTTACTCCAGCAGCAAACTTCCTAGGGACGCCAAATCAGCAGAAGGGCTGCTGCGTGGCAGGCACGGCCCCATTGCAGCGCTGGCCCCGCACGGCGAGCAGGCACCTGGGCTCTTCCTCGCCCCTCTGCTCCCCGCACAAACATTCCCGAACTGGGAACAGAGCTCGGCCGGGATTACACTGGAAAACATTTCAGCACTTTGTAAGCTCCCTTGGATTGAACTGTTAAAAAAAAAAAAAAAAAAAAAAAAACTAGAGAAGAGTCTTGTTTCAACCTAGAAGCTACAAGCCTACTTAGAAAACTCAGATGGCTGCACCTATACAGAAAACATGGAGTTACCAGATGAAAAAGTTCTGACATTCAAGCTGAGAATAAGGCTTTTGTATGCTTCCTCCCGCCTCTTCATTTCAATTACTTGTTAAATATAAATATTTACAACTGTATTTGTGAAGTTCCTTACCCAACCAAATCATCTAACCAAATCATATGCTATTTAGAGAACCATATTTTCAAACAGAATCAGGAACAGTAGGTAATTGATTCAACACACTAAATTTTCAATATTATGATGAAGTCATACACCAGTTCCATTTCTAACTTTTTTTTTTTCTTTTTTAATTAAAGATTTTTTGGTTTTTAAAAAAAGACCTGAAGCACTTCTGCTCAATTGTAGAGGATGATGGCACAACAGTTACTCTATATGATTGTTTAAAGCAGCACTGCCTGCCTTGGATCCCCCAGCACAGGATATTCCACCTGCAGCAAGTGAAAAGGCTGCACAGAGCTCGGGTTCACGCACTGTGCAGGTCAACCCAGAGTCAGAAGTTAAGCACTACTGTATATTAACAATGATCAAAGACTGAGCCCCAACATATTAAAGTCAGAGAATTAGGATCAAGTTATGCCGTGTTCCAGGGGAAGCACCAGATAACTCGATAAAAGACGGGCACAACTCTTGCTGGCTGCTCGCACTGTGCAAACAGGAGGACGTTTTCCAGCAGTGTCATTAGTTGCACATCTGCCAACACAAACAGTTTGGGCACTTCACAGACACGCTGTCACCACAGCGCTTGTCGGTCACAGCGTATATTTTTTGTGTTCGGAGTATTTCTGTACACAATCTTAAATACAATATAGGATCTCTGTCCTAGTCATACAGAAACAGACAGGAAAACCCTGACAACAATGTTGGTCTGAAGTCTAAGGGCAGTCAGTATTCTCCACAATCTTAAGAAAAAAGCAAGGCGGCTTTTTTCACACGGCTACTCCCAAAACACTGCCAGCAGCATAACGTCAAATGCACAAACTCGCTCCTCCTTTTTGCACAACTCTAAGTGACACAGGCAAAAGAAAAGGCTCTGCTCACGTGCAAAACCTGCACACAGGCAGCACAGACGCGTCTGGGCTGCTCTGCTCTGGGTGCAGAAACACGTTCTGATATTTCTTAGGGAGAAATTCCTCCTGCTTGTAAGGGGAAGGAAATGTCAGGGTTTGCCACTTCCTTGTGGCACCTAACACAAGTTTAACATTTAACAAGTTTAGCAAGTTTAATACTGGGAGGCAGCAGTTTCAAGGCTTTCTAACAGATCACCAGAGCATTAGGAGAAACTTCAAAAATCCACTTTTAGAAGTGATTGGTCTTAAGATCTCCATGATCTCTACAGACATATGCGTAAGAAAATTTTATAGACTCAAGAGTAATTGAAACTATACAAAAGTGCTAAGAACACTGAAGAGTTCAGGTTTCACTCCCATCAAGGTTTTAAGATATTAATTTGGACACCTGGCTGAGAAGGTCTAAACCTCTCAGATTTCAAAAGATTCTTTTTCTGTTGACCCCTCAATTCATAAAAAACTCCCCATGTCACCTACCTGACTGTTTAGAAAGTTATTTGGTACTATTTTGCTTTCTATCTTTGTAGATATAATAAATCTACATATACAAGTTTTCTGTCGTTATAGATATGATAAATATGGTGCTACTTACAACACGTGCATTTATTTTATATATACATACATGCATGTCTATGTGTTTGTATATAACATGTGAATTACAAACGTATTTAGAAGGTGAAAACTAAAACCCTATTAATTAAAAGGGGCATTAGTTTTCTGATCATGCCACTTTCTGACTAACAGCACTGATCCAAAAAGACTGTGTTCTCATTGGGCAGCCAGCAGAACCGAGAAGTGCACTACTCCCTTCAGCAGCAGCAAACTACCAACTAAATTCATTTTGCAGAATTTTCACTAACATTGTTAATATATATATAAAAAAGGAAGAACAGAGTAGACATAATTTTAGAAAGAGCTGACGATACCAAATAGCTGTGAGCAAAGTTTTCTCAGAAACTGAAAGGACTATGGGAAGCAGCTCACGCACAGTGCCTGTCAAATCTTTCTAACATCTAGAATAGAGCTCATAACTATTAGTTTTAGACTGCCTATTTTTCAACAGCTTTATCACGCTGTGACATCTTTAGGAAGTGAGATGGAGGCACACAAAGCTGCAAGATAAGTACATAAGCTACATGGCATGAGGTGGTAAGCAGAGCAGTCCAGTTATATTGCAAGTATAGGGTGAGATTATAAGTATTAGGAATCAGCGTAAAGAAGCCTATGTTAAAAGCAGTTCAAAAAACTGGCGCTGTTCCAGGTCAGTGAGAAGACCACCCAGCTCCTCTGAGCACTGGCCAAAGCCAATCATGATTGGAACCAAGGTGTATGAGTCAAGTACTAATTCATCAGCGGATATGTGACAGACAGAAAAGCAGGATACCAGTTTCCTTTAAAATGAGAGGGAGGAGAGGGGAGAGAAAAAAAAAAAAGGCTCCCAGGAGCAGGAAACAGCCTCACAGCCTCACTTACTTCCTTACAACTCGACAGCAGATCCTATCTCAGGAGTGTCTCCCATCAGGCTCCTTTACGGACCCACAACTGACTGCAGAGAAAGTCCCACGGCCCTGGGAGCACCGGCCACCTCTGCTCCGTGAGAGCTCCCCAACCCAGCGCCCCATCCCAGCATCCCACAACTATGGAGAACAAGATCCAAGGCAGGTTTTGGAGCAAACCAAGCTCTATAAACTGCAGTCAAGGCGCAAAAGGGAACGCAAAAAGTCTCACACAAGAGCATACTGAGCATGGAAAACACACAAGTAGTAAACACTGTGTGCAGGGGCTATTTTAACCTCCTGCGTGGCAGATATAATGGTGCTTTATTAAAAACAACAACTTCAGAAGAATTACACTGCCTATCTCCCTTGTAGATCTTGAAGATCTACAGGAGGAAAAGTAGTTCAGCAGCTTAATAACTTACCAAGTCAGGCATTAACACACTGGAAAACGTGGAAACGGAATCTGAGCCTTCCTCTAAAACACACATGGGCCATTTCCAAATGTCCACAACCTTTTCCTGGTCAAACGTGACCACACACAGCTCCTCGGCCACACGGGGGGCTCTTCTGTAACCTGTCACAACACGTACCATGCTCTGCTAACATTTATCACTCTGTGCCTTTCAAGCCAGCACAGTCACTAGCCTCAGCGCACCCGTTTTGCGCTGTTTTAGGCGGTGAGAGCACATTTAATGTCACACACACTATCACGGTCACGTCACTCGCGCAGCTCCTTCCTCCCAGGCCGGCGGTGCCTGCTCCGCATCTTCTCGGCTGCCTTTCCCGCTCGGCAACCTCACCGCGGTTTTTCCTTCCCCACTCGTGTGGAAAGCACATTGTAAGAAGCGGCAGCTCACAGACTGCCGCCAGAGAACAAGTTAAACCCAGTGTCCGCGGAGTAAACGATGCCCGGCTCACGCCGGCGGGCCCGGGGCGTGGAGGGGCCGCCGCGGGGACCGGGCGCCCACGGCCGGCCGAGCCGCGGCCCCGGGCGCGCTGCCCGCCGCGGGCCGCTCACCTCCTTCACGGGCGGGAATTTCTTGCGGCACTCCAGGCTCAGGCCGCGCAGGTCGCCCTGCATGTTTTCCAGCAGCTTCTTCACGGCCTCGGGGCTGCTCGTGCCGGACATGGCGGCGGCGGCGCCGCCGGCCCGGCCGCGGCGGGGGCTGCTCCGGCGGCGCAGGACGGGACGGACGGGACGGGACGCAGGGGGCGGCGACGGCGCCTCTCGCCCCGGCGACGCGGCCCGACACGTCTGCGCTCCAGCACCGGAACCCGTCACGGCGGCCCCGCCGCCCGCTCCGCCCCGCCGCCGCCTCCGCTCCCACAATGCCGGGCGCCGGGGCGGGGAGAGCGGCGGCGGCGCCGGGAGGCTCCGGAGCGGGGCCCGCCGAGCAGGTTCGCGGCAAGCGGCGCCTTAGGCAGCGGGTACCGGGGCCGCCGCCATCACGGGAGGCGCCGGCACCGCCGCCATTACGGGCGGGCGCGCGGGCGGCTCTCGTGGGGCGGCCCCGCGGTGGCTCCCGGTGCCGGTTTCCGTGAAGCGGCTCGCGCTCTCCTGCGGGTCTTCCCTCCTGCTCGTGGGGGCGAAGCCCGTTCCGTGTCCGTGCTCGCAGTGGCGAGCCCGGCGGGGGGACGCGGCGCGCGGTTAAAAGCGGTGGCTCCGAGCGCTGAGCGGAACGCGGAGCGGGTGGGCTGCCCTCGTGCGCTCTTTGCTCCTGCTTAGCCAAAGAAACCGCAGGGTAAGCGGACAGTCTGCGTAGGGGACAACGTTAATTTATGCGTAGGGGACAAGTTAATTTATGAAACATTCACAACACAACTACGTTTGTGTTGTGAATGTTTCATAAATTAACTTAAAGATAGGTGGATAAAAAAAAAAAAAAAAGAAAAAAACAAAAACTTCAGTCAAAGCCAGAGCAGCAGATTTTTTCCCCTCCTTTCCTATCCAAGAAATCTCTTATTTCTGAACTCACGGGTACCGAAGGGTGTGGGCAGGGCTGATGCATCCATGAAGCTTCAGGGAGAGCATGGAGGGGACCAGCCTCAGCTGCTGGGTGGGAGGCCGAGCTTATCTCGGGAAGGGAGGACTGGGTGGCTGCTGTTTTAGATAAGGCTTCGCCCTGACACCCTGTAAGCGCAACAGCTTGTGGTGTAAATGTGTTTTCCTAAGGTAATCCAGAGATGGCGAATGTTTTCCCCAGTTAGCCACGCTGGGAGGCGGGAATGGCTCAGCCTCACCCAGGATATATAAAAAATAAAAAGACTTTGAAGAGTGATGGGCTCGGGGGCTCAAGCTGGTTAAGCCCACTGCTGGGGGTTGGAGGTACCAACCTGCTGCGGTGGTCGGGATGTTACCGAAACCTGTGAGGAGCCTCGGGTGTGCGACACGGCTGCAGAATTCTGCCAGGTTTGGCCTGGGCTGCCCTGAGAAGCCTGCGCCTTGTTCTGCCCCTCGGCTAAACCCCGACACCTGCAAGCGAGCGGCTGTGCTACCGGACGTTCAGCTCTGCAGAGATAAAATACCTGAAGGAAGTTGCTCAGGAAGCGTTGTACTCTGTCCATTTGTATACACACATATATATATGTATATATATTCACAAACAGTAATGATGAATTGTTTGACATACTTAAAAACTATAGGAATTCTCTTAGAAATAAATGCTTTTTGTATCAGTGTGTGTGTTTTTAATTAATACTGTCTACAGTGATGGTTTCTAAATTAAAATCAGATTCCTTTGTGCAATTAATTACTTTTATCATATTAGCTTGTACATTATAGTACTTGCTGCTGAACTGCCTTATTGCAAACGTGTAGTGGCACAGAACTGGAACAGGCCGTGGGCGCCTTGCGCTTGCAGTGATTTGATGGCAACCAAGTCACCTCTATTCAATGCAACATCTAAGGTTTGTTTGTTTATTTAAGGAGGTTTTGGCTGATGTCCCACCCTTTTGGCTAGTCGTAAATGGCTCAGTTCTGCAGATCAGGAAAGAAAAAGGACCAGGTGCAAAAACTATTTATGGTCTTGATTCTTAAAATCTGTAGATTTGTTGAGCATTGTTCCTTTGGCCGCTGCCCTCAAAGCCTTTGAGCTTTTCTCTGACACTGTTTGAAAATCTGTTTGATTTTCTCATTTGGAGATTATTTCCTCTAGTCTGTAAAACTATAAACTTTTATGTTATTGTTAGGCATGTTCTGTTTAATTCTTCAGTTTTTTTAATGTCTCAATTTCCTTTTGAGTCACTTGAGTCAGTAAATGGAGCAGTTTTTGTGAATGTCTCTGAGGGCCCGTTTTTGACTAGCATGGGAAAATGATAATTAGCTGTTAAGCTTTGTATGCTGCTATGATTATTATATTGTTGTTTCCTTTGTTATTAAATTATACGTTATTTTGTAATGAATGGTGAGTGATGGGAATAAACCAAAGTGGATTTATGGCCTTAATCACCATCAAAAATGCTCACGAGGCTTGTGATTCATTCAGTTACCTCTTGGATGCACTGTTGATGATAATTCCAAATGAGGTGCATCACTCCTTTCCATCACACTAAAAATGGCCTGGCACTAAGCTGGGCTAATGCTGGCTGTGTTCTCATAGCTACAGTCCATCCTGAGAGACAGACACAGCTTCAGACTTGGTGAGAAAATGGGTCTGACATCACAGGGCAAGAACACAGTGGGAATGAGACTCAGGATGGTGGAAGGACAAGATTTCTTCCTTGGAGAGCCTCATTGTGTCATACCCTTTGCTGTTTGAATCTCATCTGAATTTACTAATTGTTTGTTTTTCGTGTGTGTGTGTATGTTGTCCTTTTGAATGCTGTTCTTTGAATGAGCTGAGCCTGTTCAGGCCTTCTCTGTGGTCCGCTGCTTGAATTATCCTGCTGATGGAGCTGACAGTGCAACAGAAGAGCGACAGATCCGTGACATTGGCAGAAGGTTGGCACGGGCTCTTCATGTTTATTTTACAAGTGGGGTGAGGGAGAAGAGACTGTGCAACTTTTCCCAGTCACACAAGGAGCGTGTGCCTGACTTGCTAAGTAAACTGCACTGGACCCATGAAACTTTCAATCCCTTACACAGTAAGTATTATCTTACTGACTAGATAACTGTCGTATTGTAACTGTTCAGGCAACACCTGTGAGTTTTCCCTATGGACAGAGAGATGCAGCCTGTAACACAGTAGGTACACAATACATTCTCTGTGCCAAGTGCAGGGAATGGAGAAACTGTTACGGACGACATGACAATTGCTTGCATTGAAAACTCTCCTGCTGAACATCTGTGCCGTGGATTCAGCTGCACTGCCTCGAGGAGTCTTTCCCTGAACGCCTCATTGTGAGGGCAGAGCACGTCGTATAGAAAGGCCTGTCAGAAATGAACGTTTGTGCTGCAAGCTCTGTGTTTTGCTCCTCTCCCAGGTATTTTCCAAGGAGAATCCCCAAATATATTTAATCTTTTTCCTTTTATCCCTTCTTCAGCTAGTATGAAAGTATAAAGACCTTTCCAGATGCACAGTAGCCAAGAGGCTGTGCCGAGGGCAGACCCAGCAGAGCCAGTCGCCGTGAGCACCTGCAGCCCGTCTGGCCCCACAGCCAACGGAGAGGGATGTTATGGGCAGGCATAATGGTCTGAGGTACCTGAAGTAGAGATTTACCGAGGGCTTCTTGGTACAGCACCCTTGACTTGCTTTCTCATGTTGTGCTCATCTCCGTTGGCTTACGAACAGTGTAGCCCTCTTGAAACGCTCTGTTCTCTTGATTTCGCTCAGAAGACGTTGTGTTTGTGTAAATATTTGCAGGGCTGCGCGTGCGGTTGTGTTTATCAACAACAACATGAAAGAATTTTGTTAGGGAGGTTGAGTCAAAACAGAGACACAAAATGAACGTACTTCACAGAGAGTCTGGAAGACATCCAAGAAATCCAGTAATAAGGAGCCGCCAGCTATTCTTTGTAGTAAAGTGATTGTACGGTCACCTCCATGTGTAAGTGTGTATCATCCCAGATAAAGCAGGTCAGGGAGAAGCCGGAGCACCTGCATCTGGGTGTGCATGCGTAGCACTGCAATTTCACCACTGTCACTGGAATCTGGGGAGTGTTTCCAGCTGTATTAAGTGTTTCACGGATTGGACCCCCTTCTAGGAGTTAGTGCTCGGGGTGAACTTGGCTGCCTCCTCACGCCAGCAGCCATGTGTGTTTTTGGCTTAACTCAGGCAGAGGAAACTCCAGTTCTGGCTCTTCCTCATTCCCGCCAGGAGCTGCTGCTCAAGACATGCACAGGGAGCTTGGGAATACCCGTTCTCCCAGTCAGAGACCCAGCTTCCTCTTGACAGCTGCATCAGCAGATTCCTGTGGCCGTTTGTGTTTTTAGGAGAGGGCATTGGCTAATCACACCAAAATTACACTGTGCTCAGTACATCATGCAGTGCTAGGACAGGTAAACTGCAGCATTCTAGATAATAATTAGTGAGGGCTCATGTAAAAAAAAAAAAAGTGAGACTTTTCTATTACTCTGTTATTTCAAAATACCCTCATAATGTTTTTGAATCACCTGAAAATTGTTTCATTTCTAGTGTTTTTGTTTGTTTATTTGGTTGGTTGGTGTCTGCTAAGAATTTAAATCCACTGCTGGGATCCGCACTGTGTTTTGTTTCCTTTCCCCGCAGCACAAGACGTTTCACTTCGGAGCCGCCTGTTAGTCACGTTTGTAATGTTTGCTTTGGTTTTAATCACTGGATTCTGCTCTCTTGCTGTGGACTTGAAATCCTATATCATATTCTTATTAACATCTTACAGCTACGTGCTAGTTACTTTGGTCTTTTGTATTCATCCAGTCCCATCTCTTCTATACTCCTTTCCTTGTCTTCCTAACTTTGATTCCTTGTTTTCTCATGAATTCCCATTTCTCCTCAACTTCTTTCTCTTTGCCATGAGTTGTTTTGCTTTTGTCTCCTGCTAATGCGTAGGAGCCGTAGTGCACACTGCTGCTACTACTACTACTGCTACTACTGCTGGTATTTGAGCCCTTGGTGTGTCTGCTCTGCTCTGGAATAGATTCTGTATATTCAATTGAAATGTGAAATCTGCTTTGTTCTCTTTTACCTGTACATTTCTTCTCATAGAACTTCTTTTTTTTTTTTTTTTTTTTTTTTTTTTTTTTT